TATAGATAAGACTAGTGCACTACAATTAATAGCTGAAATTCAAGAGGAATATAGAATCCCTGAAATAATATCCGAAAACTACATCCAAACCAACTACACCAATAAACCTAACCTACCAGAAGACCATAACCAGATCCGTGAAATGAATTTGACTATACCTATAACAACTCCTAAACAACTAGTTGATATTGCCTGTGAACTACGTAGTCACTACTTATTCCGCCAAATACCTGCTAGCTGGATTGATATTTCTAAAGCTAATAATGATGCGTTGAAAAGAGACAATAAACCACCTCTACCTGCCAATATACCAGAAATCCAACCGCATTCGACTCTAAACTACAATTACAATTACCCATCAAAGATTATAAATTAATAGAACCCACATTAGACAGCATTAGTACTTACTTCAACATGTCATCTACACCCAGTTTCATTTATAACCTCCCAGACTTGCCAATACCGGACTGGGACATTGTAGACAACTACTCACCTTTTAATAGTTGAAAACCAACAGACCGATGACTATCTGTCAGATGATATCTACATTTCACTAAATTCAACAAATATAGAAGCACCCCAATCACCTCATGTACAAATCCCAAACACCCCATCAACTAGCCTAAATTTTACTACTAATCAAAACAATAGCCAACTCTTTTAGGGAAGCACTAGCACCCAACTTGGAATAGCAATTCATAACGTCCAAGGAATAAACAATAATCTTAAATTTACAATGTGGCTCCAATACTGCAAAAATCAAGATATCGTCATTAGTATCATGACCGAAACAAAACTATCAGCAGATCACACCAACCCAGCAAGCTTAATAAATCCATAGTACAAAGTTTACACAGCTAATTGTGATGAATACAACGCAACGATACGACAATTAGTCAAAGGTGTAGCAATTGCAATAAAACCAACCATCCAACCTTATATACATAATATTCAATCTATACCAGGTTACACCATCTTAATAGACCTCTTCTTTCCTCAGCGCCACCGTACACGTATTATCGGGGTATACATACCATCTACTATTACTAGTAATAATAACTCAGCACAACAAACCATTATTCAATAGATCCAACAAGCACGTTCACACAATTATAATATTATTGTAGCTGGAGACTTTAATTCAAATATCAAGAAAAAGAAACCCAATGTACTTATCTCCTACTTAGCAGGATCGAATATGATTAGTCTACTACAATTTTATAATATAAATCTCCCAACATGGCACAGCCAAAGATTCTCTAGTCAAATCAACGATTTATAGGCTAACCAAGAGATGATCTTGAACATCACACAACTATCATTATTATCATCTGCATCTTCTACAACCAGCGACTATGAAATTATCCAAACATCCTGGGCAATACCCAGGCGGTTAACAATACCTAGACAAAGGCTGTGTAGACATAAGATTTATGCATATTCACAAACTACATTAGAACAATGGCAAGATTTCAAGGACGATATTGAGAGACACACCAGGGCGGCAAATACCACTTATCAACAAATAGATAATATACAGCTTCTTAACAAAGCGTGGAACAACCTTCAACAAATAATCAAACAAGTAGCCAACAAATATATACCTTTTAGAGTCACCTACCCAAAGTCTTTCAAACTCTATTCATCTAAAGCTACTAAACTCCATTATCAACTGAAGGAACTAAATAAGATAATTACACTCATAACACACTTCTCACCGATATCAACCAATCATATATGTTACTTGTTCAATATATTAGCAGACAAAATTAACTCTGCAGACACCATAATTGATAAACTTGAAACCAAGGACTTTACTAAGTCATTATTTTATACAATCTTAAACAAATTAAACGAACTAAGGAAAGCACTCTATCTTTCACAGAACTTAGAAAATCAACAACAACAAAAACAAATGATTCATAATCATATCCTCAATCATCAACATAATTTTCAACATAACACAACAAGGATGATCGACAGTATACTAAAATGCCAACATCAATATGTCAGCTTTAATAATGTAACTACTAGCGATGATGTAATAACTAACCCAACACAGGTCAAAGTAGCAACCTCAAACTACTTCAAAAATTGGACTGATACTAGCCCTACTGACTGGAATTATTGGCAAGATTGGCAAAACTACTACAATCCACTACCAGGTATACAACAACAGGCCTATGAACCACTAAATCAACCCATAATTATGCAAGAACTTACTGCTACGATACAACAATCTCCAATAGCCAAAGCCACCGGACCATCTTTAATTTCAAATGAAATGCTAAAACACTTACCTAATATAGCATTATCCAACATATTAAACATCATGAATGCTTGTATGGAACTAAAAAATATACCTAAAGCTTGAACACAAGGACTGGTATGGCCCATATCAAAAAAGGGTTACACAGATGGAAATTTAAATAAAACAAGACCCATAACACTCATAGAACACATAAGAAAGATACTTACAAAAATTATCACGAACCGTATCAACCAAATATTACTTAAACTTAATATCTTATCCAACTATAACAATGTTGCTCTACCGGGGACCTCTACAGCACAATCTATTAATCATCTTACTCATATTAGGGAAGACGCCGCTATATATAATAAACAATTATGGATATTAGCCCAAGACACTTCAAAAGCTTATAATTCCGTTCACATACCCCTTTTAGAAAAAGCCCTACACAGAATAAGGATCCCACAAAACATCATACTATTAATAACTAACATATTATCTCAATGGTCAAATCAAGTTATTACAAGTATTGGGAAAACACCTACCTATCAAGTATATAATGGCTTGAACTAGGGCGAAACTATATCACCTATACTATGAAGAATTTATTACGATCCATTAATCATCCGTATTGCCAAGGAACATCAAGGTTACACCATGTCAATTTCACATCCTCAATCACAAGATACTCTAAGCTATAATATAGCAGTCATAGCTTATATGGACGATACTATATGGATTGCCTCCAGTAGAACCCAACTAGAGGATATACTAAGAACTGCTCAATCATTCTACAATTTTGCTAAAATCACGGTCAACCCAAACAAATTTGTGTTGTTGCACAATAATACCCAAGACACCAATCCTATCATATTCCAAGATCAATAAATTTTTAACTTACTATATGGCAAAACACTGAGATTTTTAGGAACCCATATAGATCATAGTTTCGGCAACAAATATGTAGCGAAGCAAATACTTCAGTCATTTAATCAACAACTCAACAGAATCCATTACTCCCATATCACTAAAAACAAGCAATTTATGTTATCAATGTAGTACTATTAGCACAACTTCGTTATCAACTTCAAAACTTTAGCCTCACACAATCTAAATGCTCAAAAATCACGGCGCAATATACTAACTTAGTGAAACAAAAAGTAGCACTGGCGAGAGGGGTACCCAAACAACAATTACAAATCCGTATTTATATGGAAACTTAACGCAATGAACAAAACATTCAAAATACGCATTCAGCAACTGCAGAATAGCACACAAACTAACATATCAATACTTACTCATCGTGCAGTGTTAACTACTAAACAGCATCATTCCTTTACAAATCAACTAATTCTTTCAATGCATAAAATGAATATTACCTTCCCTAGCCCACCACAATCCTGGCCTCAACCTTTGAACTTTCTAGGAATCGATCAATGAGGTACTACTACCTTCATCTCGAAACACACTTATCAAGAATTATCTAGTGAAACACAATATTTATGCTGTAGAGCAGTTTCTCAATCATGACTGTACAGATCCAACTACCTTGAATCATTTTCATCATAATATATCCAAAATACCGAGAGGACACATACTTAAATGGTTCGGAGAAGTACAACTACTCATCGCATAACAAATAGGAGCCGCATCACCGTCTATAACAGCAAACCCATTCACATGGCAAAAATAGATCCGAACTACAACAATAGTTGGATAATTACTCCAAACCTTACAATAGGAAAAATACAGAAAAGCAATTCTCAGAGGACTACCATGCAATATTAGATAGTAGAGACGAAAGATAACAAACTAACGAAATGTAAAGGCTGCAACTTGAATAGATCAAAATCAAATAATTGCAGAATTAACATAGTAATGGAACAAGCATATATAATTGCAGTAGATTCAAAATATAGATTACACGGCAATCTCATCAGCTTCAAAACACAACAACTAACTGAAAATAAAGTAAAACAATAAGTTAAATATATACCCAACAAATCAAGGATCACTCACGACATTTTACTAGCATTTACAAACATCAGTCAAAAGCTATGGGCACTGTCACAATTATCAATGGACTCACTAATAGTTGACATACTTATAACAACAGTTAAATCTACTAAAATAATACCCATTGCAGTAATTAAAATAAATGATGAAATAATACAAATTCAAAATCAATGTTGGAAAACACCAAAGAAGATAGCATATTTTGCACTCATTATAGTGGCGTGTTTTTGTACAAACAACAGTAATAACATTATATGAACTAATTTAGTTTGCATTACGAAACACCTACAGACAACGGAAAATTTGACAAATAACTTTACGAACGTCAATAAGAACCCTCACCTACAGTTTGCAATGATACTTTCCAGAATACTATATCAAAAAAACATTCAATTCAAAATAAGTATAGGGACTAATATTAAGAAATCGACAACCCAAACCTATACCACAGAATTAGATACGAGTTTATTCATTAACAACTGTTATTTGCCGACGATCTATGGATATCCGATACATACATCTTTATAACTCTTACTTAAACATATAGCTAAAGCAATGAACACAAACAGGTGGTTGCGTCAAAATAGGATCAAACAATGGCATAACACCTCAAATAACATTAATTGGCAATTAACATTTCAGTCAATTAACTTCGAAGACAAAATTAATTATAGATATACAGACTACAAAATATCGAAGACGAAGAACTTTAAGGTCAAAATCATAACGAATGAACTACCTAACCAACAAATACTATTCCAACGAGACCCTATCAACAACATATCGCCAGCCTGTCTACGGTGTAGCTACTACCAAGAAGATAACCAACATTGGTTATCATGTCCAGCTAACACAATCAGTCTTAGAACTATACTAACAAAAACCATAACATTATTTCAGAATTCTTATGATGTTCATTTTCCAAATACTAACAACTTTATTGATAGATACTTGGATACTCATATCACAGAACAACTACCAATAGGACTAATAACAGATACAACAATGTTACCAACAAGAAATAAAGACTTAACAGTGAAATTCCATCATCAAATCGTTCAACAGATACAAGAAGACATTTGGAAACCTAGTAGAGCAGTGTTAAATAGAATAGCTAATCCTCCCACTCACACTCATACAAATAACATTAGACATACTGAAACGAATTATAGTCATTCACAAACATTCACTTGGATACAAAACCATATCCTTAACAATTTCTCCCCGATCAACATTACTAACATAGACTAGAGGTTCTGGACCAATCTAGCTAAGATTAGGTCCAGAGTAAATTAGCTCTATCCCCCATCCATAAGTAGTTATCTAAATCAATGTATATTTATGTAATATTTAGTATAATGATAATAAAGGATATGAGGAAAGGACCTCTCTTATAAAAAAAAAAAATAAATAAATTAATTGAATTAAAATTATATACTTCGTTATTATTATCCAAATACTCTTTAAATTTTATTTTTGTAATATCATGCTTATCTCGTAGATGCCCAATCAAATTAGAAGTGTTTCCACCTTTTTTGATATATGGATAAGGTTTTTTATCTCTTCTGGCTAAGTTTTCTTTGCAAATTTTACAATAAACAATTTGCGAATTTGTTTTACATTCTTCAAAAAAGTGAGTAGTAAAACTTTGATTGATTCATGGTTTTTTCTTTTTTATTGTTTTTCTTTATTATTTGTAATTGAAGAGTCAAAAAGCTGACTATCACACGATGAATTAAAAGATTCTGAACAAGACATAGTCTGTGAAATTAGAAGGTAATAGATTTGTTTTTTTATTTTGATAAAAATTGAAATGATAAAGAAATACAGCAAATAATAAATATTATTAATTATGAAATAATATATTAATTATGAAATTATGCAATTAATTATGAAATTATGCAATTAATTATGAAATTATGTAATTATAGCTTACGTATTTCGAGATCAAAAATAAAACCGGGTTTTAATTTTAAAACCGATTTGTCGGAATTTTATAACCGGATTTTAATTTTAAACCCGGTTTGTCTGAGTTTTATAACCGGATTATACTATTACAAACCCGATTTAATATAAAACCGGGTCAACCCGAATTTTCAGTCGAATTTTTTTAACCAGATCCGACCTCTAATATTAACAACCACTGGGTCAAATTCGATAAAGTTTTTTTTATTTGGATCTTACAGATTCGTAGAACTCAAATAAAAAAGGTTCATCAAATTTGCTTGATGGTTACTGAGATATCTTTGCCCAAAGAATAAAAAAAATTTGGTGCAGCTTCTATTTATAGAGTTTTTAAAAATTCCAATGAAGATATCTTGACAATCATCAAGCCAAATTCAACAAACTTATTTTTTATTTGAATTCTACAGATTCCTAGAATTCAGATAAAAAAAAGTTCATCGAATTTGGCTTGGTGAGTGTCGAGATATCTTCGCGCAAAAAATAAAAAAAAAATTGAGGTTTGATTGACGTTTAAAGACTTTGAGCAAAGATATCTCAGCAACCACCAGACAAAATTCAATAAACTTTTTTTTATTTAATTCTATGAATGCATAGAATTTAAATAAAAAAGTTTGTCGAATTTAACTTGGTGGTTATCGAGTTATCTTCGCTTAAAGTTCAAAAATAACTTTAATTTGTATGGTGGTATAGTTAGGAAATTTGGGGGTACGAATAGCAATTCCCTATCTTTATTTACTTTTAAAAATCATTAATTTTACTTTATATATTTTTAAATATTTAAAGTTCTGAAATTTCTTTATCCTATTCTTAATTCCTAATTAAGTTGCTTCCATTTTGCTTTTAAGTCAACCAGATCAATTTCGTTTAATTTCATTCGTTTTTATGGCTTTACTAGACATTTTTACAATTTTTACCACTAAGCTATCCGGATAATAATTAGGAAATTTCAAAATTTACACAGTTGTTAGTACACGGATATTAGCTTTCAAATCCATATAACATGCCAATCAATATTTTTATAATCAAAAAATTAAACCTTAGTTTATAATTAGGGTAAGTTGAGATTTGTAATTGGGTGAGATGGTTTTATAATCGAAATTTTGAAATTTAACAATACCCCGTATAATATACAAATAGAAAATTTCTAATTATTATAGTTTTTTTTTTTTTTATTTGACTGTTATCTACATAAATCCAAGCCGTACAAGTCATTAATTTTACTATTTTGTAACAATCAAGAAATCCGTAAATTTGTATTAAAATATTTTTTGAAGTATATTTTTAAGTAATTTCATTGTCTATAGTAAGTTCTTCATATGGCTTTGTTTTCATTATTTAAATTTAAATGATTTTAATATTTACATTACACTATCTACATCTACAGTAAAGAGATAAATTCCAAAAGAAAATCCTTACATGACAGCTACAATGACTAAACGTTGAAAAGGAGTAGCCGAAGTTCCTCTCATTTTCAACATTTTTAAATAATTAGTTTAATAAGACTATATTTTCTTTCACTCCAGAAAAATGCGCAGTATAAATTTATTTGATCTGATACTAAAGGAGTTTCATATGCATATTCCGTTTCATTTGTAACCATTTAACTGCATTAACTATTAATTCAGGCCCAGACCAACGTAATGTAAGCCGAAGCTATGGAATAACTTTCGCGCCCAATTACTATTATGTCGTAATCAAAAATTAAATATATTATTCTTTGTTACGTGTGCAAATAATAGAATGTCAATTTGAATTAGATTGAAATTTATCTAGCAAAAAATGCATCTTTAAGCTAGGCTAGAAAGCGAAATCCAAAAAGATAGAAATGTTATCAATTTCGTTCAAGGCAATAGGATCATATATAAAGATTTTTACTTGAAATTTGATTAGAAAAGTTTTTAAATTAACAATTGATTTTAATTAATAAATATTTGATTGGATAAGTTATAGTTAGTAACTATTTTTCATGATGTGACTTTAAATATTGTCATGATTCAACAGATTGAAATGCAACTTATATTAAAAAAATAAGCTTTTTTCTTTTTTTTATACTTACGCGTGACTATATGTTTATAAAGTAAATTTAATAATGTCGACCTATTGATTGATAAAAATTAACCTATGGCTCTTGGAGAAACGTTGTCAAATTATATAAGATCACCAAGGAAAATAATATTTTAAAAATATAATCAATTACAATTTAAAACACACTTTAGTTGTACAAGATAAATTATTCAAAAAATAAATTTAAAGGTTAAATAGATTGTCGATGTTAGAATATACTGTTGAACTTCTCAAAACTATTCTTGCCAAAAAACTGCTCGTCCCAAATCCCAAATCCCAATTTTGTTATATTTGGGATTGAGATTTAGGATATGGGTTTTGGGACAGTTTTACTATGTTTGAGATTTGTGAAGGATTTTAAGAGTTTATAGTTTGTGCGGCATGTATACTCAAAATCGATATGCGCAGTGGAAGGTCTTTAATATAATTGAGAAGTTATAAACATAATAGGCTATTAGATTTATATAGCGAAAACAGATTAAGTAAATTGATTTTTATTAGATTTGAGTGGTTCAACAGTATCTATGAAATAAACTTATCTGTGAATTAATTAGATTAAAATTACATAATAACTTCTATGTGCATTTTTAAATTTTAAGCAACTTGCATCGCGTGCAGCATACAACATCGCTTGCATAATGCATACAGCATATTTCTAGTTGTGATCCATCTAGTAATTGTTTTTTTTTTATTTTTATATGATCTGACATTTGAGACTTACGATAATAATTTGGATTATACAATCAATTAGATTCGATCATCACAGATTATCGCTGTTTTCGAAATAGTTGAAAATAGCAAATAAAATTTTTTTTTCGATGTACACCCGAACACCGTTGATAGCGTGTGACTTATAGGTTGAAAGGCTAAAACTAATAAAACTAAACTCTCAATCAACTAAACTACAATCCAAAGACCCTAAAGACTTCGAATTGGCAAGGCTGAAAGAGGCGAGGAGAGACTTGGTCCGAGTTTCGAGGCTCTTCGGGTCTTGCTGCGGCGTATTTGGCGGTTAAGATAAGTATAAACCAAAATTATACTGTGAAGGTTGATTAAGATACTTAGGCCGGAAGATAATTATTGTTCTTTTCTTTAATTCAGGGTTTTGGTATTTCAAGCTTCGATATGATCGTTAAGATTCTTAACGATTGTCACGTGTATCATGTGGAATTACGGCTGCGGCGTTCGGTGACTTAATCTAATCTGAGATTTGTACGTCACGGGTATCGTAGATCTGAGGCTTAATTTACTAGTCCGGTATTTACGTCACGGGTAATCATATTAGCGGTGATCGGATTTCTAATTAGCCGGTGGTCACGAGTGATTTATGTTGATCGATGCAATTAATACGTAATAAGGCTTTAATCACTAATTGTATCTAGCTCGGGACCGAGTCAAAACTAAAAACTCGACTTCATGAGTCGAGTCGGACCTTTAACATCTCTAACTGTTAAACTGTCTCAAACAAACTACAATTCCACAAACGTTTTTGAAATTAATAATCAACAATTTTAGTAATTCTAAAATTATCGATGATCACAATTTCACAATTGTTAATGATTATCATTTTCACAATTCTAGAATTCCAAAATTAAAAAACGTTTCGAAGAATACAGTAATTTCCCTGCATCCCACACCTGCTCGTTTCAAGCTCCTGACATTGCACCTGCCTAAAATTACTAATTCATGCATGTAAAAAAATTAGTATCAGGAGTTCAATCAGTGCGATTCTAAGCCTGTCCCAGTCAGGTAAACATTAAACCGTCTAGTCCTCTAACCTTTCTGGGTCAAAAGTAGATAGATAACGATAATCACGTTGCTCAAATATCTATTTCAGGTTATCGATGTGATATACTTTATTGTGATTTCTATGCCACTTTGTTGTAAATTAGTGGATGATTTGAGCAGTTGGGCTAAAAAATAAAGATTTTTAGTGTTACATGAAATTAATTTTTACAATGTCATCTGACGAACCCTTAATGATGATTGACAAAGCTGAATATTGACACGACCAATAAAATGTTAAACATTGGTTGACTCTCCCTTAAAGAACTTCTTTATAATATACTTTGGATATGAAAATCTTTAATTTTTTTAAAAAAATTACTGTTTTTCATAAAAGTTTCTTTGGTTTATTACTGTATAAAAATATAGTAATTTTATATTTGATAGTGTCTTTTTTTATACTTTTATTTTTTTTAACAAAATCATCACCGTTATATATATATATAAAAAAAGTCATTTAAACGTATACGTATGATAGCTAATTTATTGGTCTTATATGGAGTCCGAAGTAGTGATGTGATCCAAAATCCGTCGATCCGGACATCTTATATCCGAAAACCGATCCTATGCGGATATTTATTTCTCGCAATGGCGAGATAAATCCCCGGTTATGTGAGGGCTCTTCAGGTCCTCGTACAGCAGTAATTCATCATTTGTATGTTGCCATAACGGTGGCTTTAATCAGTGAAAAGAACAAGTTTCCCGAACACTTATTATTTTATGATTTACTGAGGAAATACAATTTTTTTAATGCAGTTCTGTACAGATTGCAAAATAATAATAATAATAATAATAATAATAATAATATATCAAATGTTAATTTAAGCAAAGCTTCAAACCTAATAGCTATAAATGCAGAAATTAAATGCAATTTTGTATAAAATTTCAAATTCTAAAAAATTTTGTAGATTTTTTGTAAAGATGCAGATTTACACTTTTTAATTTTCTTGATGTCCCAAAAATTTAAGATATCCAATTTTAAATTAATCAATTATATAACTAGTGATGAAAAAAAAATCATTTTAAATAGTATTTTAGGTTTTTTTAATTCAGCCGAAGTTAGAACTACCGCTTCTGATTGTTAATTTAGCATCTGCCATGTTCTAAAATATTCTTGGCGGTTATATTAAAAAAAAATTATATCTCATTTATTTTTATAAATATTATTATAAAATATTTATATCAATTTCTGCAACGTTTGTAGAATATTTTTCAGCGGAGGCCTTCCAAGAAGCATAAGGTTTAAAATTTTGAAAATAAAGAAAATTTAACTGTACTTAATGAAATTATTTAAATAACCAATTAAATAAACATATATAATCGTTATAATATGTATTAAAACATTTAAAGCCTGTTTTAAATCAAATAATCAAGAGTTTTAAGATCATTATTAAATCATTTTTCATCCCTATATGTATCCGTATCTGATACTAAAAAACCAATTTTAGTTGTATTTAAATATTACGCTTGAACATGATCAACAGTTATGATGTAGAATGTGAAATAACAATTATATCCGGGTTATCTGAACAGTTGTGAACATATAAAATTATTAAGGCAGATAATAGTAGCGTCACATCATATAAAAATCTAAAATTTCGTGGAAAATAAAATCTTATAAATATGATACATGGTTTAAAACATAATAATAGCAATATTAAATAAATGCACTTGAAATTTATTGAAAATAAAATAAATTTTTTAAAGTGTCGCGGTGTTTCTTAATGCCCCATGTACTTGTAGCGGTACCCATGTAATTAATGATCGGGTACGTGATCGAATATTGTGATCGGGGATATGCATGATCCCGATCTAATTAATAGTCTAAAAATAGCGTTGCATGAACAATGTAGTAATTAGAAGCGATTAGTATCGCATGAACAATGTAGCAATCAATAGCGATTAGTAATTAATATGTGATTGCATGAATAATGTAGTAATAAAATATGTATTAGTAATAATATATAAGGCATCGATCCAAATAGGGGAGATGCCAAGCTTTCGCTTCGTGAATAAGCTTCGTTCTTAGTGAATAAATTATTGTATCTGCGTGAATACATTATAGGTGGTAGTATCTGGTACGATATTCCAGTCATCGTAATTAGGCCAAGCGAGTTAAAGACCAATAGGAAAGTAAAGTAGTACACGTAGTGTTGCTAAACTACGTGACAAATAGTCCTCTAAAAATATGTAAGTATATGCTTAATTCCGATTAAAACAATTAAACCACATTTTAACAATTTTATTTACATTGAAATTTCAAATTTCTCCTTTACATTATTACATATTATAGTTCAATTAAAATTGTGTAAGCGTTATTACTAACTAGATCTGAAAGCAAAGCCTAACTATGCCGTTTAATTTTAAAATATGAGTGAAACAGAATATATATGCATATACCACGAGCCATAAGTATATAAAAAGGAATGATAAATATACAATTATATCAATGATACTATATTTAAACATGCAAACAAGAAAATGAAATAAATAAAAGAAACAAATGAACTAATCGAGTCAAATGAATCAAATAAATATTGAAATCAAAAAGTGAGAATTTGTTTCTTATCGAAGTCTGGGGAAGGCGAAAGCGAAAACTATTTATATATTTATTCGAGAGTGGGATATAAACCAAGCGAATGTTCCAAATCGATACTATCTTTGTAATGCTACACAATCAAAACACAATTTATCAATGGAATACTTAGTACAAAAACGGAAATAATGCAAAAAATAGTACGAGACTAAGTTAAGGCTAAACCACAGTTGCGTGCAAATCATTAAATACCCTTGACGACGCAAGGCGCACATCGATATTCTTAGGTTCGTGATGACGCGGTAAATCGTCAAAATTAAGACAATATAATGGAAAAATAACAATAAATTAAACTAACCTTTACAATGCGAATGAACTTCATTCAGCTTCGATTATATAATTACTGTACATAAATTTGTCGACCCATAATAGTAATAATAATAGTAATAATAATAATAGTAAATGGTTTGAATTTCCGTGCATGAACAAAAATAGAGCGTATATAGGGCATTACCGAACAAGAACCTGTGGTGCTTAAAAAAAAAAGAATTTTTAGGAATTTTTGTTTCATATCACAGGAAATATGTATTACAGGATAATATTGATACTGTATTGTCACTAATATTGAATTATCACATAATATGGCAACCGTTGTACGTATGTACGTACTGTACGTACAATGTACAGTACGCACATAATTGGGGAACAATTTCTAATGGATCCATTATTTCCTGATGTAGAAATTGAATGACCTAAATTACGAGCAAAGTCATGATATTTGATATATATGCAAGGTAAAAACGCTACACAGAATTCGAAACTTGGCCTTGTATACCAACAGTATCAGAAATTTTAGAAGAATTGTCCGCACATTTATCATCCGATCATAAGTCAGATCATTCAGGAATACTTTAAGGGAACTTAGAATGATACCGATATGCATTAAAACCAGGAACTAAATTAAGCTTGTGAAACTGGTGACTATCTAAAATCTGATTGGCAATTTACTTTATTAGCCAATCATATTTTAGATTGTCGTAACTCAAGCGATTATAATATCGATATGTAGTATGCAATACTTGTACGTACAACATTATCGGAGGCCGGGCAAGGCACGTAGTTACACATGAGGGTACTTTCCCCTGCATGCGTGTTTTTCTTGTATACTACAGAAATACAGGAATATGTCAAATATATTCACTTCACATCACATAACTTGATTTTTTTTGTCACCACAGAGTTAATCTCCTTTATGTAAAATCCTATTCGGGAAAGATTAATAATAGTAAAGTTATGCATATAAATAAATGCGTAGAGGTCGCAAAAATCGACTTTCAATTGTAACAAAAATGAATCTACCTAAAAAATCCAAAGAATTAACTTCAAGAGAAACTTTTAAAAAAATCATCAAATCTTCTAGATCTAATATATTTTTACTTCTCGTACCTGTAGGTTTTTTAGTAAATTACCTTAACACAAATGTCATAGTAATTTTTGTAATGAACTTTTTAGCAATTATACCATCAGCTAAATTGCTAAAGTTTGCGGCTATAGAATTTTCGCACCACTTCGGTGAGGTACTATTTTAATAAACGACATGATAATAATACCCTACTATTTCACTATTCTAATATTAATATTTTTTTAATAGACTATAGCAAGCCTATTGTATATATCATTTTATAATGTGGTAGAATTAATAGTGACCATAATTGCGTTAGTGAATGGTGAAATTCGTGTTGTCCAAGCAGCAGTTCTAGGGTCTATATTCTCTCATCTTTTACTTGTATTAGGATCATGTTTTTTGGTTGGAGGAATCGAATATCTTATTAAGGAAAAGAAGCTTGAACAAGAGTTTGATTCAACTGCCGCACAAATGAGTTCTAGTGTGATGACATTAGCGTGCATTTCTCTAGTTATACCTGCCGCATTCAGTCTTCTTATCAATGGAAATTTGTCCAATGTTCCCGTCGATAGAGTTGATAATAGAATCTTGTATATGAGTTATGGAACTTCAATAGTGTTATTGATTATATATGGACTTTATTTATGGTTTAAGGTAAATATGAAAATCTATTTCACCGTCACACTCTTCATTCACACATTTTTATAATTTACAGTATTTTATTTATTTATTTATTTATGTATAGTTAAAAACCCATAAAACATTATTTGAACAAGTTGAGCATGAAATTGAAGAAATTGAAAGCGAAGAAATTGGAGAACAAATATCAGAAAATAGCATAGAACAAAATTCTGAAAACGAAGAAAACCGAGTACAAAGTCTTGAAAATGAAGAAAGCGGAGTACGAAAAAGTGAAGAACTAAGAAATGAACACAAAAAGAAAAAGCCCATAAGCATTTTAGCGTCATTATCTTTGCTAATTATAATGACTGCGATTATTGGTTTTTTGGCAGATTTTCTCATAGACTCAATAGAAGGAATTGTTGCGTCTCAAAAAATAAGTGAAACTTTTATTGGGTTAATTTTACTACCCATGGTTGGTCATGGTGCTAAGGTATTAAGAATGTTAACTTTATCATCAAATGTTATTTTTTTTTTGAGGTATTTACATGTCTAAATTTATTGTAATAGTTTGTGGCCTCTATTAAAACTGCGCGTGAAAACAAAATGAATGCTGCTATTATTATTTCGGTTGGAAGTTCAACTGTAAGTTTCGTGATAATATATCTATTATATGTAATGGTTGTTTTTTATTTTTAATATATATATTTTTTCATTGTTCACAATAATATAGCAAACCGCGTTATTTATTACTCCACTCTTGGTGATCTTGGGATGGATTATCAATCAACCTATGTCTCTGGCTTTTTTACCGTTTGAAACCATTTGTTTATTTATTGCAGTTATACTCAAAAATTACTTGGTTCAGGTGCGTTTCCTTTATAAGAATTTTTTTTTTAAAAAAAAAAACTTTAAATTAACGTAAAAATACTATTTTATTTAAAATGTTCATTTAACATAGGGTATGTATTGTTTCATTATATTGTCAATAGATCGCTTTAATATCTTATCTTTACTAACAAATTACATTTTGCAGATGGGAAATCTAATTGGTTAGAAGGTGCATTGTTATTAGCGACTTATTTAATAATAGCTGTAGCATTCTTCTTTTATCCAGACCAGTGACACGATACATTCCTCACACAAGATGGTCTCACGTTTTATATTACTCTCTAACAAGAAACATTAAAAAGTACATTATTGGTAGGGATATTTTGACGAATTGATATGTTTCGAGGTCTAGTGATCAAATTAGCACAGTTTACGGTGGAAAGAATTGAATAATTTCAAATTCGATCTCAATTTAATTTTATTTTAATTTATTTAATTTATTTAATTTGTCATGATACCCATATTTCTTCATACTCCCTTTTACAATACTATTCAAAAAGATATTTCTGTTTTAGTGATCTGATTCGACTTTTCTCAATGTGAGAAATGAAAATTGAATGGTACAAAAATCTCTAGATCTTGAAGTAATCTCAGCTTGTCAAAAATTCCCGTCTCGAAAAAAATTTTATATAGAAACGAAACATTTTTATAATAGAAACAAAAAAAAATTTAATATCAAAAATAAAAAAAAATCATTTACTTTTCATTATTTTCATTATTATTCGATCAAATTCCTTTTATTTATTTATTTACCTTAATCATATGGGAATAGATTTTCATTATAATGTAATATAATTCTTATTCATCGGCATACATTTTTTCAAAGGTTGATACGAGAAAGATGTTAATCATGGCGATGAAAAGAGAATTGATCATTATTTGTAGACATAGCTTGAGAATCGCTTGACTGCTGTGAACTCATTTCTATGTGGTATCTAAGTCTTGGTTCATGGGCTATATCAAGCATCTTCGAAGCCCTCATTTATAAAACCCCTCATATTATGTCCGCCAAAATCGTTTATGTAAACACCGATTAATCAGATTTTGTAGCATTGATACGAAATTTGATTCAACTACTTCTTTCGTGATCAAAAAATTTCGACAAGGTCAAATGCCTACACATAATACAAGAAAACTATTTATTTAAGAAGTAATAAACTATAAATTTTCTTTTGAAAAATGGTTTTTGCGTTCATTATAAAAAAAACAAATAACCGTAAATTCTCGAAATAACGTTCAGGGGTAATTTGGCCTAAATTAAGCTTAATTCGTGCCATAATCCATGCCCGCTATTTTGAGAATTTACGATATGTTGAGTACCACAGTCAAATCTCTTAGATGAACTTTATAGGGATCAAACTTTTACGTATATTGTAACATGCATTTATAAAAGTGCATTTATGGATATTATACAATGTAGTTATAAAGTTAAAATAAAAATTGTCGGAATAAATTGTCGGAATATTTAATTTAAATACCGATTCGTAAATGATTTTGGGAGGTGTTTAATTCGTTTATCCATACTATGTCTGTCATGAATGTTTGTCCGCCGCTTTCCATATTTATCATTAGTGGCATCACAAAGAACATCTTGTATTTATCGATGTATATTAGTAACAATGATTCGTGCTACAATTCTATAGGTTAACATTGCGTATACCGAATTTTCATTTGATCTCAGGTAATTGAGGTTGTAGCAGATGAATTAATCAGATCAAAGTTCCAATGATACTTACTATATTTATTAAATAAGGACAAACATGAGAAAGCAGAATACCCGACTCTACCTTGCAATGTATTATAAATTGTATATATGCATAAATATATTATTGGTTGATCTATGATCATTTGATATCCGACTTAATCACAAGTATTTGACAATGACTATCTAATTTTTGTTTGATTGTGCCGAGCTTGTTTGTTATAAAAACTTTAAAATTATAAGTGGCAGACCTAGAAAATATATTAAATTCTTAGGCTGATTTTTAATACCGAAAGATGTACTGATCGGATTTATGAACTTATTAAATCAGTTTCTACATCAAACCCAGATTCTGGAACAAAGGTTCTGGAACTTAGTTTACAAAAACTAGATTTTTAGGCTTATAAAATGGAAACAAAACAGAACCTAAACTAACATAGCCTCCCTAACTATAATTAATAACGACTGACGATACGAAACTATTTCCTGCAATGATTAAAGGTTTCTCATCATGTACTAATCTGACGAAACCTTTGATGAAACTCCCGACAATTAACGAAACTCTCGACGAATAATTCAATCCATTAAATGTTAAGTAACAGTCGACTTGCATTCAGCTAAGTTTTTTCATAGTGATTTCTGGATAGCTGAACCTTAATTTTTTTATAATTACTGTTTTTCATTATACAGATAAATCTATTAATTCTGCTAAAGTCTTTGTTAGTAATTTTGTAATTTTAAGTTAGCTTGTATGATTCAGTAACAGTCAAATTAAATGTCGTACGCAACTATTAATAATATTACCAGAAATTACCCTTTGTGTATGTAAATGGCTTCACCGTCCGGTTTCAAATAAGCCGTATTTAGGATTTAATTCAATGATAAGATATTTTGTAATTAACACCGCCTTATTTCTAGCTGACCCACCCTAATCTCAATGTTAAATTAACTTTAATTATAAATCCCATGATCGACTTCTGATTACGAATATTATTATACAATATTATATCATATTAAGTAAGAGGAATTCGTCAGGGAGACCACCAAAATTCAAAACGCCACAACTGCCGCATAATTTTTTCAAACCTTCGAATCATGTGGTTTAAATTAGTTCCTACATATGACTTTCAAACCTTATTCTAAATTGATTTATGTAAAGAAATTTCTTTTGAAAAAATTCCCCTTTTGCAGCACCTTTTCCATATATAAGCGAGTCATGTGATTGCTATTTCCCGACGAACTTGAAACTTTATTGAAAATAAAGTTTTTTTTTTTATTTAAATAGCTTGCTTTAAAATTAATAAATATACTGAATTTTTGATTTTAAAATACCATATCATCGAATATTCAACGAGTTCGATGATGATCTAAGGTTCTCATTAAAAATTTTGATTTTCTCATTTTATAAATTCTAACAGGTTCCTTACCTGAACTTCGTTTAGCTTCAATCATAGATTTGTTGATACAGTATGTACGTACACAACAAACACCTGTGATCCTTAAGACTCAAATAAAGAAAATTTCATTGATCATATCAATCCTATTCTGGAAAATTTTAACTGCAAGATTACGTAACTATAAACACTAAGAAAACGCAAAAATCGATTTTGAAAGATAACAAAATGGGTCAAACGCCGACTGAAAAAGATCGAAAGTTATCCTTTAAAAAATCTGATATATTTTATATATTATTGATTTTCGTTCCTGTGGGGTACATTGTGAACTTTCTTAGTTCGAATGACACATTAATTTTTATAACTAATTTTCTGGCAATTATATCATCGGCTAAACTGATGAGATTTGCGAGTAATGAACTTATACACCATTTAAATAAATCTTATAAGGTATTGTTAATTAAACATGATAATCATTATTTTAAATTATTCTAATATTAATATTTTAATAAAGACTCTAGAAGACATACTGGACGTAGCGTTTAACAATTTGGTAGAGTTAATAATAACCATAAATGCATTAGTGAATGGTCAAATTCGTGTTGTTCAAGCAGCATTGCTGGGGTCTATACTCTCTCATACTCTACTTGTATTAGGAATTTTTTTTCTAGTTGGAGGGATCAAAATTCTTTATGAAGGAAAGCTTGAAGAAGAGTTTACAATCATTGGTGGTTCGAAAGGTACGACAGTTGCGCAAATGACATCTAGCGTGTTGACATTAGCGTGTATTTCTCTGGTTTTACCTGCTGCATTCGGTTTTTTTGTCACCACAAGTACTGATAAGGTCCTGCATATAAGTTATGGAACGTCAATTGTGTTATTAGCTATATTTGTACTTTATTTATACTTTAGGGTAATGTAGAAATTCATTTCATCGTCGTACTCTGCATTCGCATACTTACAGTATATTATAATCTATTTATTTTATATGTAGATAAAACCCCATAAAACACTATTTGCTCGATTTCGTGAACACAGAGATAATTTAGACAGTATAGATATGATAATGTCATTAACATTGTTTGATATAATGATGGGGAATATTGGTTTTTCTCGTAAAGTCAATCGAAGGAATTGTTGCGTCACATAAAATAAGTAAAGCCTTTATTGGATTGATTTTACTACCCATAGTTAGTCATTGTGATAAGGTATTAAAAGGTTAATTTTATCATTAAAAATGTTGACCTTTCTATAAATATTTACATGTTTAAATCTTAATAGTATATTTCCTCTGCCTATATTGAACGTAATAATCACAATAATGAATGTGCAAATAAAAGGTTTGCAATTATTGTTATTTCGGTTAGAAGCTCAATTGTAAGTTGCGTGATAATATAGCAATTATGAGTAATCTTTCATTCTTATTATTCTTATTTAAAATTTTTTTTAATTTCAAAATAATATAGCAAACCGCGCTAATTATTACTCCAATATTGGTGATTTTGGGATGGATTATTAATCAGCCTATGTCTCTGTCTTTTTCAATATTCGAAACTGTTTGTTTAGTTATTGCAGTTATACTCAAAAATTACTTAGTTCAGGTACGTTTCCTTTAAGTTGTTTTTTTTTTTCTTATAAAAAATTTTAAAATTTCGCAATGAATTACTTAAAATTTTTAAATAGGGTAAGTATTATTTCATTATATTGCCAATACAGTATTTAAATACCTAATGCTTACTATTAAATTATATTTTTAGATGGGAAATCAAATTGGTTAGAAGGTGTAATGTTAATATCGACTTATGTGATAATGGCTGTATCATTTTACTATTATCCAGATCCAGATCCAGACCATTGATATGATACATAATTCGCACAAGATAATCATTATCCATACCACGTTTCATATTACTCTCTCACATGATACAGTAAAAAGCACATTTAATATATTAGGTTGGTAGGGGTATTTTGACAAATTGGTATATTTCGAGATCTAATGATCTGTCGAGCAATTTATATGACGGAGGAATTGAATAATATAAAAATTTGTCAAATTCGAACAATGGACTATGAGATATCTCTATATTTATTTATCGCGGTTGTATCTTTGATCAAAATTTGCATATCGCAGCTAACACATACGATCACTTGATTGTTGCTTATTGTGCGATTGTACGAAGTTATTTTTGAGAGTATAGGTATTATTTTGAGGATAGAGTCATAAATTATAAAAATATTTTATTTGTATTGAACTTTTTTTTTTAAGAAAATCAAATTATAATCGCGCAATTGAACGATAATAAAGTGATTGTACGTGTGAACCACGATCTGCAAAATTTGATCAAAAGATACAAACCGCGATAATTGTCATAATACCCCTATTTCTTTCTTCATGACTCTCTTCTTATAGTACTATGCAGGCAAAGATTTTCTGATCTAGTTATCTAATTCGATTTTTCGTTGAAAATTGAATGGTGCAAAAATCTCTAGATTCTGATATAATTTCAATTTCTGCCTCAAAAAATTTTTCAATAAAAATTTTCATATCCAAATTAAAAAACTTTTTTTTATTTTTCATTATTATTCGATCAAAGTACTTTTATTTATTATCTTAATCATATGGGAATAGATTTTCATTATGACATAACAATTTCAAGATTTCCTAATCTTCGTCAGCATGTAATTCCACATTTTTGCAAAGGTTGAAATTAGATGTTAATCAAACTCTACATGACGATGAAAAGAGAATAGATCTTTTATTTGTAGACATGATCAAAGAGTTGCTCAGCTGCTGTGAACTTGATCCACGATCAATTCTATGTGGTGTCTAAGTCATGGATCAGGAGGCTATAGCAAGCATTTTGAGCCCTCATTTATAAACCTCATAGTATGTCCACCAAAATTGTCTATGTAAACGCCGATTAAAATCAGATTTATATACAGCATTGATACGAAATTTGATTCAACCACTTCATTTGTGATGAAAAGATTTCGACAAGATCAAGTAAATATAAGATTAATTATATAAAGATTAATAAACTGTAATTTTACATAAAAAGCTAATTATATTGGGTACAGTACTACAGTAAAATCTCTCTAGATGAACTCTATAGAAACCAAACTTTTAATACTGTAATATGCATATATAGAACAATGAGACAAGTACATTTATGGAGGTCAAGTATATTTGCAAGAAATTGAGCATACATTTAGAGATATTGTTTATGATCTTTATTTTTCTTCTAACATATTAAAACAATTGTTACAACAGTTGCATAGAGATTTTGACTTTCAAGAGTCTTTATAAACTATAATTCAAGTTTCTTGGTTTGGTTATGAAGGATGCCACCATATATTGTAATTTCAAAATCCTTACTATATTCATCCTGCGTCCTGTTCCTCTCATATCAATCTATTGTAAATTTATAAAATACTTTGCGGTTTAATAATATAAAAGCTAAAATCAAAATAAATTACATTTTAACATATTAATTACAAAAATCAAAAGTACTGTAGTATTGCATTATTTATTACTAAAATTATTATAGATAATTTTATTATATTAACATTGTTTATCATCTATTATCGTAATCGCTTTATAATTTTTTATACACTGCATTTATTGCAGTTTGCAAAAGAATTTTATTGTATACAGTATAACCTCCCTAAACCGATATGCATGGTGGCCAGCTTTTGTACAGTCAGCCCTCCCTAAGCGCACCCCCCATAAATGCACGGACTATATATGCTATATATGCACTCTCTAAATACACGCTAATACTTATTCCCAAGCATATAGAACTCTTAATAAAATGCCTTCTGTAAATGCACACCTTTCTAAATACATTTTGTTTATGATCCCAAAGGGGGTGCACTTAGGGAGGGTTGAATGTAGCGTTCCATCAGCACCACCCCATTCCCGCATCGTCTTCACCAAACCCTCCATCACCAAATCTATCCTGATAATTTCGTTCAACGGTGCTTCCATCACAACTACCGGCTCAACTTGATAATGATTTTCAATATCATTCGCTCCATTACTTACATCATCAGATTTTTGGTGATAAACAGATATCCTTTTCATCACGAATTCCATTCGAATTAATCATCGTCCCACTTCCAACAATTTCGACACCATACACTTCTTCACCTCGTTTAATCTCTCTGACAATTTCTTCAGCACATCGGATTTTTTGGATTATTTCTTCGCTCAATGCCAGTACGTTTTTACCTTTTTTCTCTATCCGCATTGATTGAATCGTCATCCACATTAAAGTCATCTTTCACTAACTTCGGATTCAACTCAAGGGCTATCTTTTCATCCTTTTCAACACTAATTTCATCCGAATTAATCGTCGTTGCTCTACCATCTGAGCTTGAATCCCCGGAATATTCAGGTTTATTTTTCATCTTCGCTTTTTCTTTCTCTTGGCGGTTTATACTAACATTCACTACCCTTTCTATCCTCAATTTATCACCTTTTACACTCTTACATCCCTTGGCACTATTAATATTCATAGCTTCCATAAACCTCACATCACTTACCTCCGGGCTTCCCATTAAACTTCTATTTCCGAATTTTCGAACTGGACAATCACATGCCAAGTGTCCTGGTTTTCTACATTCGTAGCATAACCTTGGATGACGCGGCTTATACTGGTAAATATGACACTTTTGGCTTTCATATTGATTTTTCGCAACCCTACTTAGTAAGATACTAATACTTTCCATAATCTCTTTTATGGGATTCATCATTTCCTGGATTCTCTTTTCCAATGCAATCTTCATTCCACACGTTTCATCATTCGGATGTCCATCTTTTCCCTCCATTCGTTTATCAGAATCGTTGTCCAACATTTCAACAGCCTTTTTTTTATAATATTCGCTTTGCTTTATGTATGCTTCAATCTTTAAAGCAGACCTCTTTATGTTTTCATAGGTTTCAGGGCAATTATGATGAACCTTTTCACTATACTTTTCGTCCAGCCCTCTCACGTACATCTCATTCAATTCGGCTTTCCGATGGACTTGTCCCTTCGCTATCGACATTTGGGCTTCAAATCGGTTCGTATAGCACAGTACTGATTCTCCTTTTTCTTGTTTTATATGTGTTAATTTATTCATCTTTATCTCCCCATCATACGACGTCCTCATACACTTGATCATCTTTGACTTCAATTCGGCCCAACTCTTGGTTGTCCGTATTAACTCCCTCAACCACGGCCTTAGATGCTCCGAAACGTGGCGGCTAAGCATCATCCTCATACATACTTCGCTCCAACTTTTGGATACGGTGTAAGCTTTAAAGTCAAATAAAAAATCCTCTACGCTCTCTTCACTGTCACCATAATAAAATGGAACTTGAAGATCGGCGCTTTTCATTGTATCCTTTTTGTGTAAGTAAAATGTCCGTTTTATTACACTTATCATTTCTTGTCTTTACACTTTAAATTCAACCTTCGCTCCTTTTATTCTCCAATACCACGTTTCACTCAGTTTTCACTAAGACTTTTACTTTTAATGTTTAGCAATCAACCACGTAGTTCCAACAAGGGTATTGCTTTCTATTGTCCGAATTTTTTTTTTTTTTCTTTTTTTTGCGAGTAGACTTTCGTCTACCCAGGTCCTTCTGTCACGGCTTATTCTGGGTACTGGTGGGTCTTTACTATCAGTCTCTACCCACTTGGCTGTTCTTTTTGAAGACCGTGTATCATACAGGTCCTTCCACCGATTTTGTATTCACACAGGTAATAATTTCTTCGCTAAGTTTCGTTTTTCACTAAGCAAACAAAGCTCAAATATGAAAGCTTGGCTCTTTCCCTTTCGGGATCGATACCTTATATATTATTACTAATCGCTAATCAGCGTCACTGATTATTACGTATTATCTCATCGCTCATGCAATCAATTTTTTAAACTTTTAATTAATTCCCATGCATACCCGAATCACGCCATTCATGCAAATTGGGATCATGACCCGATCATGATCCCTGACCTGACCCTTGCGCTACGAATATCCGGGGCACCAACGTCGACCACGACAATTACCAATTGCCAATTTCAAATAAATATAACTGATCGAAAATATGAATACTGTATTCTACCGTGAATAAGCACCACACCCTCTACCCCACTTTTTAAATATCAGATTAGCGGAAATAATTTAACTAAAGACTTCATTGCGATTTCCGCTAATCTGACATTTAAAATGTGGGGTAGAGGGTGTAGTGCTTATTTACGGTAGGATACAATTTAGAACCTCGGAAATTTTCCTCGTTCATCATCACAAAAATCTTGGTTCTTGCAAAGCACTATAATTCGAAATCAGAATCCTGATTCGTAATTCTGAATCACCCATTATATTTTTTACAATTTAAAAATCGTAATTCATTTAAATCAATTTATTTATGTATTATAATACATATTTCCATACATATTAACATATTACCGTATTACCGCGAAATAACGCGCAGGGGTGAAATTACGAATTCCGGCCTAAATTAAGCGTAATTCTGACCAAACCTCGAAATAACGGAGTTTACTAATTCCCACCACTTCTGATTGGTAATATTAATTATTAAAATATCAGAGTATCTGTGCTATTAATCAATTTTATAGTACTCCGATAGTGAAGTGGTGGGAAAATTGGATTAGTAAACCCGAAATAACGCCCATGGTACTGTATGTACAAATTTATTATTAATTTGTAAATATCAAGATGTTTCAAGTTCGAAACAAAGATTTATTACGATATAATAAGAATAAAGTCGGTTTAATT